GAGTGGATGGAAGGAGACCTGCTCGAGTAGGGCCAAGTAGATTGGAGCCAGCTGCTTAGTGGCTCCAGATTGGTGAGGCCCAGGATGTGAAAGTGGAACCATGTACATAGTTAACTGATAAGCCTGGGCTCAGAGTAACCTTGACTGTTGCACACAGGCTCCTGGTTTGTGCAGGGAGCTGGCTTAAAAGCTTCTCCTCCGAGTGGATGGAAGGAGACCTGCTCGAGTAGGGCCAAGTAGATTGGAGCCAGCTGCTTAGTGGCTCCAGATTGGTGAGGCCCAGGATGTGAAAGTGGAACCATGTACATAGTTAACTGATAAGCCTGGGCTCAGAGTAACCTTGACTGTTGCACACAGGCTCCTGGTTTGTGCAGGGAGCTGGCTTAAAAGCTTCTCCTCCCCCACACTGCTGCTCCTGTATCAGAGGCAGCAGTGCAGGGGTAGTCACACGTTTACTTGATGAAACACACTTTCACATCCCTAGTGAGAGTGAACTCAGATGCTACCAAAGGAGAAACCTTGGAGTGGATGGGAACCTCCCAAAAAGCTAACGTTGCTACCAGCAAACCAGAAGGGGACCACATAAGAGACTGGAGATAGCCCTGGTCTCATCAGATTGTGTTCAGGTCAGTTGGGTCTACACACACAACTTTCCGGCCGGCGGAGAGATAGCACAATTGCTGTATAATGGGCATGTCTGTCTCTAGTTCAGGATATAAAGCCACACGCTGATTCCAACTGGGCTGTAGTTGGAAGGGCTCTGCCTGATTCCTTCTGTCAGAGCAGCCCCAAGTGAAAATCTTTGGGTTTAAAGCGTCTTATTTCTGAGACACTGTTCAGAACCCGGGCCTAGAAACACAGCAGGCAATGCTGTCTGGGGTGCCCAAGGGAGGTTCCCCCGGGTCACTTTCTGCACCCAGGGTGTGGGTAGCTGCATTTCAGTGCTATGGCTCCAGGCCTTGGCTCCTCATTCCCCATTTGGGGGTGCTGTGTGGAGGGGCATTCGTGGGTGCCCTGGTTTCAAGCAGCCTCACTCAGAGCGTTCAGCCTGTGTGCGCTTCCTAGGGAGAGGAAGGGCAGCAGTAACCCTCCCATCGCGCTATCCAGTGTCAGCTATTTGAGCCTCATTTGAAAACAAGCAAGCAGCCTCTCAAATGCAGAAATGTGGAGCTGTTGGAGGCACTTTCCTGTTCCCCCTCGAGCTTGATATTCCAGTAAGAACTCCAGAATTCAGTAGAAATTGCATCCCTGAGCCCCCGTACCCCATGCACGTACAGAGCACAAGTGCTGTCCTGTGACCCGGGACAGATCAGTGACCTGGGTGTAGCTATGGGCGGGTGACGCTACTCAGCTAGAATCCTGCTGAGAGAGGACTGTCCGCTCCTAGCTCGACTCCCTCTGTAAGCAGATCCATAGGCCAGTTGTGAGAGGAGGGGCCTGTCTGTTCTGTATTCTGCTCTAGCCTCTGAGCCCCCTTCCTGAACCTCTGCACAAGCGCTCCAACTTGATGAAAGGCCCTACCGGTGGCACAAAGCGCTGGCCTTTGTTTCAAGACAAGCCAAGGTAAACACGAGCCTCTTGCTTGGGTAGCTAGGGAACGATCTGCCGGCCCTCTGGGCTCTTGTAACAGAGCGTTCAGATACGACTCGTACCGCCCCCACCCCGCAAGAAAGCTTCCGATTCCCACTCTGCAGCCTGCCTGCCAAGAGGCTTTTTGCCTGGGGTAAAAAGGTCCTAGAAAGCTCTGCCCCGGGGCTGTCACCGACGGGTGGCATGGGGCAAGGCACAAGGGACTGGGCCCAGCCTCTTGCTGCATGGCTGCAGTGGTTAGTCTGGCCGGCTCAGCACCAGGCCCTGGCTGAACGCTAACCTGCCTGTGTGAGCCGTGCCCTAAGAGGAAGGGACGGCCTTACGCGCTTTCAGAACCGCTGGGCCTGGGCAAAACCACCAGGGTGGGAAGGATCTTGTGCAGCATTTCCCAGATGCGACCCTGACTCTTCTCCTTCTCCAATTCCTCCCCTTAAGGCAGGAGTGAGAACCTACGGCCCAGAGACCGGATACGGCCCTGGGCTTGCCGGGACCCCAGCATTGGGGAGCCTGCGCTAGAGGCTGGAGCATACAGTCTACTCGCCTGGGCCCCCCAAGACTCAGGAAAATGGGTTTGTCTCTTCAAAGGAGGCAGATGCACCAAGTTTGGCTTTTGTTTTTTGGGGTGTGGGTGGCCCCGACTGACTTTTTTTTCTGGGTCAATGCCCCCCCCAACCCAGAAAAGGTTCTTCACCCCTGCCATAAGACATTGACTCTGGAGCACCAGGGCTGTATGGTCCTCACATGTTGCCTGCAGCATGGGTGCAGAGGGTGCTGCTGTGGGTGGTGTGTTTCCCTCCATGGGGCTGGGACATAGGTCTGGATCCAATGTCACTCACAGAATAGACCCACTTAATTGGCCACTTAAGGAAAAGGTCTGGGAATCCTGGTCTAGCGGACAGGATGTCGGAGTAGGAGTCTAGGTTTCAGTTCCTTGCTCTGCCATGGATTCCCTGTGTGACCTCAAGGAAGTTCCTTAACGTGCCCTGTGCTTAAGTCCCTATCTCTGCAACAGGGACAACCCCTCGCATGGTCCCATAGGTAGGTGTGTGAGGGTCAAGTCCATGTAATGTTGTGAGATGCTCTGATAAGCCCAGGAGTTCCATAGGTAACTATCGGACCATCTTCGCCCCTATCCCCTAAGTAGTTCTGTCTCCTGTCCTACTGGCCGAGTGGCGTTGCTGCCCTTTTGGACACAGATCAGCCACGGGTTCAGAGCCAGTCTTGGGGCACACGAGTCAGGCAGTTGCTTGGGGCCACCATTTTCCAGGGGCCGCCGCCAGAGCCTGATGGAAGCCCACTCGGGATACGCGGCAATTAAAGGGGCCACAACCACGTTCTCTCCTCCGCTTCCCCCCCCCCCCTCCCCGCTACACATTTTCCCTTGTGGATGCCTGGGGTTAGGACCAGCCCTGCACAGGTTCTCCTTTCTTCCTAGGATTGCTAGGTCAGTGAGCGAACTGACATGCTGTGCGGGGGCAGAGGGCGGTGTTAGTGGACTTGGTGCATCTGCCTCCTTTGAAGAGACAAACCCATTTTGCTGAGGTATGGGAGGGTTGTGGAGCTCTGGCCACTCCGTTAACCGGTCCGGATGGCATCCATTCCGGGTAGCGCTGACAACCTCCTGCCTTCTGGCTCCTCTGCTTCAGCCCAGGAATTGGGGCTGAAACTACATGTTACCGGGTGTGCGGGCGTGTTTGAGGATTAGTTGGACTGAGGGGGAGAGAACCAGAGAGACGGGAGAGGGTAACATTTCCCAAGGCTCCGATGTTCCACTGACTCTTCTTCCTGAGACCTGAGCTCTCGGTCGCTCTTGAGAAAATCCTACCAAGAGGCTTTTAAAATGCCTAGTGAGCGTGATGAGTAGCTTAGAAAATGCTTGCTGGAGAGAGGCTGCATTTAGACTTGGAGTATAGGGAGAGGCCTCCTGAACAGCAAACCACTGACCTCTGTCTTTCTCCATTCCCCATCTTCCTTGGGCATGTGTTTAAAAGGGGCTCTGTCAAAATCAATTAGTGCACCGCTCCTCTGCTTAAGAGCGAATTGACTGCGTGTCTCAGCAGAGAGCTCATCGAGGGAGCTGGAGGGACCTGACACGGGACCTGTGGATTTGTCACTGGTGTGGAAAAGCTGCTGAGAACTAATCCAGTATGTGTGTGTTTCTTCCAGCTATCAAAGTGAGCTGCGTTGGCTCTTGTGGCGTGTCCAACAAGGTCAATGACACAGCGTGGACCGTCGAGGAGCAGTACTTCAACAGCACCCTCTCTCTGGCGGATAAAGGTAAGAGCCGCAAGGGGTGGAAATCTGGGGAGTGGAGAAGGGGTGTGTGTACAGTGACTGATTAGTAGGCAAGGCCTCCCCCTTTGGATTCCTCTCTTTGGGCAGGTTTTCTAGACTGCAGGTTCTGTGTGTGGGTACTCACCAGATACCGCGTGTCTCCATCTCCTGAAATACCCCCATGCTGAAACAGACTCAGCTGCGTGCAGAATACAGGTGACTTCATGTAATGTGTATGGTCCAGCTGACAGCAAGGCCTTGTCCGCACTGTACTAACAGGCATTGGACTGCCAGTACAACACCGCACCCACCTCAAGCGGCTTGCAACCGCTGGGCCACGGTCTCTAGTGGAGGCCTAGTCTGAACCGATGCAGGCTACGGTGACTCCTCTCCAGTACAGTCAGGAGGCTACAGGCCTTGCAGCTGTGCCCCTTTGCTGACTCAAAGACACTGTACCAAAGGGCCAGTGCTGCGTCCGTGCTGGCCCTTCGTAGGACAGGTGCTCTGAGGAACAGCAGACCGCACCGGCCTACCCGGAGGGCTGAGGTGCATGGAATGATGGCAGCCGTCAGTCCAGAGCAACATGGGAAGTCCCTGAAACGCTTCCCTCACTCAGGTGCATGCTGGCCTAGTGGAGATGCATATTAGACAGCGCCTGGTATATATTCCTGCCAGAAGTCCAAATGGTTTGGGTCCACTCCAGACCCAGAGTCCCTGAATGAATGCTGCCTCTCAGCTGGTAAATAGGTCAGCAAACCACAAATAATTCATGCTGTATCGCTGTCCCCATTGAAACCGATCAGTACCAGCATTCACCTGCTACAGCAGTCAATCTAGCCGTAAATTATATGCAGAAGCATGTGTCAAGGAAACTAATGGAACTGGGTAAGAGGCAGTAAAACAGGACTGGCTGCTGCTAAGTCAGCAGTTGGCAAGCGGAGCTTTTAGCAAGTGCCGGGGAAAGGTCAGTGGTGTCTTAGTGTAAACCTCACGCCAGCCCGCACCCCAGCAAGAGCCGCTGTCGGGGTTGCTTTCCTGCTGGGCTGACACAGAGCAATATGCTGGAGCAGTGGGTTGAACCATGGCTTTGTTTTCCACCTGCAGCATGGGAGGGGAGTAGGAAAAGCCCTGGGCAATGGTACAGCACAAAGCCAGGCTGGTAAATATCTAGGCTGCCGAATCCCGAGGGACTTTCTAAAGTACTCCAGGTAGAACAGCCCTAAGTGAATGGACAGCTTGATGCTTTCTGTGCTTGATCTGTCAGGCTTTTGGCTGGCTTAAGACTCCACGTAGGTCGCTTTGAAGTGGCTACAGGTTAAAGGGTGAGCACTGCCGTGCCGTGGGTTTTCATGCCAATGATTTTTGAGAGGATCCTGCAGGGGACTGGCTGCTACACTGAAAAATCTTAACCATGCAGCCGCCTTGGGGCGGGAGGCGAAGTAGCTTTATGGGCTGGGCTGCTTTGAAGTGCTCTCACCCAGAAGTTCAGTTGATGGATTCAGGTGAAATAAGCAAATGCATTTGGTCCTAGCAGGGCTGCTGCCATCAGACATAAAGCGCAGGCTTCAATTACTCAGGCCTGCCCTAGAGAAGGCAGACACCACGGGGGCATGCATGGCTCGTGAAACTGTTTCAGTCTTGACATCGTGGCAATCAAACCTGCGCTTCTGTCCAGAGTAGACGAAACAGTGTGGCTTGGTGGGGGTGGAGGGAGCCATGCAGATCCTTGACACAGATGGGGAAGGCACCGTTGACGCTGTGACATGGCTCAGACTTTTTAACGTTTTCACAATGGAAATCTGGGCTTAACTCGCCAGCTGCTTTGAGCAGAGACGGAGCGAACTGCTCCCATGAGTTTCCCTGAGGCTGCTTCCTGGGCTCCGCTGACATCCCAGCCCATAGCCCTCCAATCTCTAAGGCCTCCCTGATCTTCAGAGGTGCCATGTGCTCACAACTGCTGTCGAAGTCAGCGGGGGCTGGAGATGCGGAATGCCTGTGAAAACGGACCTTACGGTCTCTTTGGCTTCATCCCTTATTTTCTGTGCCCTTGCTGTGCGCCTCCCAGGGGTGCCAGTGATGTCAGCGTTCGGCTTGGGGATGCATCAGGAGGTGGGCAAAGGAAACAACTGCCCTGGGGCCTGGTGATTCTAAAAAGCCCAGGGTCCCCTAAATTGCCACTGGAGCTCGGCATGGGTGCTCTGGCCAGCTCGAAGGGCTGGGTGGGGACTGGTGTGGTGCACTCTCACTGCCCCTCACCCAGCCCCTTCTACTATCCTTTCTGCAGGAGCATGGAGCTGCCCTCCCCTCCCTTCCCCCCCCAATCTTGCCAAGGGTCTGGCATGGCTGGCTGCTCCCCAGGCACTAGAGAGCGGGGTGACGTTTTTGTGCCTTCTGCAATTCTGTATTGCTAGTTCAATGGGTGAAGCAGAACTGTCTGAGCAAAGCAGCTTAAAAGCAGAGCCAGCGAATACCAACAAAGGTAAAATCTGGCCCAGCGTAAGGTGCACTCCGCATGGGGAAGAGAGGAGTGTCTCTTTGCTTCTATAGATCTGGAAAGTGAGGAGAGAAATGTCAAGTGCCTGGCTTGGAGGGGACCGGTGCACGGGGGCACTAGACACAGACGTGGGTGGCAGAACCAAATCCGCTGGGGACTCTGCTGTGTAACAGTGGGCATGCTGCTATTTTGTTGGCAGCAAGGCCGGTCCCAAGGTGGGTGAAGCAATGCCTGTTACTGGCCCAACATCTGTCCGTGATCTCTGCCTATTCCTCAGGCGGCTGAGAGGCAAATACTCCTGGATGGGGCACCTGCAATACAGCCTAGTCCAGCACAGTCATTTAGGTGAATGTAGAAAACCACTCACTCACTCTCCTGACGTGTATTACTTGTTAGGGCACAAGTATCCCTTGCCAGTGTCTCTCTTTGAGAATCCTCCTGTATAAAGCTTTGCATGCAAGTGCCTGTTGGAGGTTTTTCCATGCTAGGATGGGAACAAACAATTCAACCATTCACTTTTTTTACTTTTAAACGGTCTGACACAGGCAGACTTCCTAGAACTGTCTCACGTACCTAGTCTAAATACTGTCGATTGAGTTCATGCTTCTGGAATCTGGAAAAAGACTGGCCTTGTAGAGCTCTGTCCCCGTCGTGGTGCCAAGTCCGATGCTGCTCACCTCTTTGGATGACAAAGGGTGGCTTTTTGTGTGCAACCTGCCAGCCTGGTGAGATCTGCGAGTCAAGCTGGTCTCTGAGGTTTGCCTCCATCTTGCAGTTGTCACTTACCACCGCCCTTGTCTGCTGCACCACAAAGTGCAGCCTGTGGCCTGGAGTGGTGTTGGCCCTGCGGGGCTGACAGGAGTACAAAGCAAATGGTGCAATGTCAGTAACCTCGGCGGAGCGTCTGCCAAACACACAGGGTACAGATCCGTGAGGAAGATGGTTTGGATATTTGTTGCTGTTCTTATTGGGACTGCACTTGACCGCAGTCCCCAGTCACTTCTGTCCTGCAAATGCGTCGTGCAGCTCTGGGAAGAGGCTTCGTGCTATTCGAATGGGATACCCAGCTGGGTAGCAGGTATTCGTGACACAGTGACATCCGACTGAATTGCCTCTTACGTCTGAACCACCGTGGCACCATCGGTGGCTGTTCCCCACGAAGCATGGGACAGAGGCACTGGCTGTGTGGAGTACAACAGCAGCGCAGCTATGCCACTGCAGCACTGGCGCTGTAGCACACTCACGTAGGTGCTTCCTACAGTGACAGGAGTCTTCATCCCTGTAGCTGACTCTGCAGGGGAAGCTTTCATTGACCCTGCTGGGACTACACCAGGAGTGAGTTTGGCATAACAATGGATTCAGGAGGTATGAATGTTTCTCTTTGAGCACAGTAGCTATGTCAACCTAACTTGCAAATGTAAAGCCGGCTTAAGAGTGTGCAGCATTGGCGCATTGCTTCCCTGACCCTCGGGTTTGTCTTCTGTCCCGTTTCCCAAGCACACCTGATGAGGCAGGGTGTTTCCAGCCCCTAGCTCTAGTCGTCACCTGCTCAGCTGCTGTCCTCTTGGCCACTAGTTTGCAGTCCTGTGGAAACTGACCAGAGATCTGACTATGTAACCTGTCATTGGGCCAGCCGGCTATGTTGGTGCAACACGTCCTGCTGCCTGCCGACAGGGCTACACTGAAATGGTTAACTACTGATAAATGGTATGCACTAGGACTGCAGAGTCACTTAGTCATCCCGCCTACATGCCTAGGGAGGAGAGACTGCAGCAGACGGGGGCTGTAAGACGCTGGTACTTCCAGGTGGCAGGGAGTTGTGGGTTCTTGCATCTTGGCTCTGTTCAGACAGTGGGCTAAGATCACTTGATGAGCTCTGCAGTCCGGTTCCCAAGCCTGGGAAAACGGAGTTCTTCTCTTCCCCCTTCAAGTCACACGTGGCTTCCTGCTGCGCTCCGGTCACTTCTGCCCCTCTAGTCTGCAGGTGAGCCCACGTCGGCCACACAGCTCCTGTTTTCAGAGCCCGGCACGGAGACAAAGGTTTGTCTCTGCATCTTTAGCTGCAGAAAGGCGCTGTGGAGCTCCCTGGCCTATCGCTGCAGGGTTTTGCACAGCTGCAGGGTTTTGCAAACAATCCATAGCCACAAAAATGATCTGTGGATGTGGATCCTTGCAGCTATAAAGCGCATAGCTGTGGATTTGCAGGGCTCTATTTTTGCCATCTCAGCCTGAAGATGGTGTCAGTTGTAAGCAGCTGGACTAAGTTGGGCTCCTCTTCTGCTTTGGGCACTGTCAGGGGAAACGTGCCCTGCTCCACCAAAGCTGGAGCTATTCCTGATAAGCGCCGAAGCCTTAGAAGGGATGGTGGAGTAGGCTAGTATGGTCCTGTCCTTCATGTGTTCAGAAGTGTCCCTTGGCTGCAGTTGCCATTTAAAAATTAGGCTGTCGAGCGGCCTGTGCTCTGTGACGGACAGTGTGAGGCCCCTGGCCTGGTACGTGTCTCTTGACT